AGGCTGATGTGGCTGGTTCAGTAGTCTGATTTAAGTACGATACCGTTGGCCAGGGATTCATCTGGTACATCGCTCCACTGCACTCTTCTGTATTTTCCCCACACCTGTGTGCCAAGACTTACAAGATAAATTCTCAATTTTAAAATTATGAACACATCAACACTGTTTCACTGGGACTGTTACTTTCGATCATAATTAGCTAAAACAAGAAAACACACTTTTCAGCTTTTCATGTGTTTTGAAACTAGATTTTTGGACACACCTTCATATAATACCATACATACATGTTTACATAAATGTTAGTTTTTTACTATTAGCTTGTCACGTGTGCTTATGTTCAATCACATTTTTTATTTCTCCAGAAAAACGTCACATTTTTAGTGATTTTTTTCCTTTAGTTTATTGCGGCCCTTTGCAGCTAGTCAAACAGCAAAGAACCACTTACTGCTTAGAATAGAATAGAATAGAATAGAATAAACCTTTATTATCCCACGAATTAGAAATTTGGGTAAGATATAAGATATCTATATGAGATATAGAAGGAAGACACAAAGTGGTCCTATATACATAAGCAAATGAAGCTTGTATATACAGGTAACAATGTACAGAAATATTAATAGAAAAAATTGTACGGAGACATGTATACAAGTGTTTAGAGATATGTACACGAGTGTGTGTGTGTGTGTGTGTGTGGGGGGGGGGGGGGGGGGGATAATTCTGGTGAAATTTCCAGTGAACAAACAAGCTGATGAGTAACATAACAATAAAAGTAAAAGAGAAAGAGGGAGAGTGGGCAGCATACCCTTTGTTTCTTAATAGTTTTTGCACCCAGGAGCAGTACAAGTGACTACTTTAAACTGATGTGTGCAGTTATTTTCCTCTGAATTATTGGTTCTACGTCTAGTTTGTTACCATTAAAAACTGTTTTGTGTCTATTGATGAAACAAACCAACTACCCAACCAACCCAGTGATGTCACTTTCTGTATTGGCACAAGAAAGGGCCAAACATGTACTAAACACTTTAAGTGCTTTTTTTTTTTTTTTTTTTAATCCAGCTTCACAGACATTGTCATGTCATTTATTTAGCAGGGCTGCATACTGTAAATTGGCCTTTATACATCTAGTTTCATGACCACTTTGATAATGCATAGAGAAGTTTTCTTAAAGATAAAGAAAACTACAAAGAAACAGAAGTACAAACAGAAGAAGAGAGGCGTGTCTTATTATGCTTGAGATGAAAAACTGAAACTCAACCAAGTAGTTGTTTCAGTGTTCACAGCGAAGAGCATCTAAAACGTAGCAGAGTATATTTGGGATGGATCAAATGACTAAAGATTGGTGCAACTTGTTTTAACCTTTGTAAATACATAAACATTTATAAATACTGTTGGTTTGTAGATCAAATAATTAACAAAGCATCAGAAAAGTGTAATGTATATAATTTTATTGAGAAATCAAAATCGTAATTAGTATTAAAGAAAATTGGTGAAAAAGAAGAATTTGTAATGAATTTATCTCATCTGATATTTTTTTACAAAGCCCCATGTCTGTTTGCACTGACATGGACTAAAAGTGCAGACGTGGGAAGTAACAAATCAGAATTTTCACTTAGGCTATCTGTACTTTACTTGAGTATTTATTTTACTGACAACTTCAGACTTTTCCTCCCTATAATTTAAAACAAATATCTACTTTCTACTCCTTACATTTTCAGAACAGGCTTGCTACTTTTAGTTTAGTTATTTCAAGAAAAAAAGATTTCATAAATATGTAAAATCATAAAACTCTAATTCAGGCCACTTCATCCTACAGTTCCCTCAACTTCTATCTTGTCGCAATCTTATACTCTCATAGGTCATGACAGGCTTAAAATTATAGACTGTGTATTAAAGATTCCATTTGACAATAACAGGGGCTGAAATTCATAAAATTAACAAAATGATTAAATGAGATATGAACTGGCAACAGAGCAGATCAACTCATGAGAAAAATGTTTACTGAGGTCATAGAGCCAAGGAGACCATGGTTGTATAGACTTCACCACAAGAGGACTTCATTTTGCAATCATGAGTCCCCCCCTGCTGGTCATAAGAAGAATAGTGAATCGTCATTTTTATCCCTCAGCCTGGAAAGGCTGATGGGGTATTGTCTGGCAGCAAAGATATGCAAGTTTTGTGATGTGACACGGGACTTTGAAAAGGCTCAGGGGCAGCACTGGTGAATGCCAGGATTGGTCTAATAGCCAGCACTGCAAACTGGCTTCACTTTTAAGCTGTGCCCATATTCTATAAACAGTCTATGGGCAAAATGCACTGATGTAGTACTAAACTGTCACACTGTCAGCTAACCTGAATAGAAAGGTGTCTCAATTACTCTAAAAGTTGCACAGAAATATTTGCAGAGGCACAACAACACATATCTTGTAAAAGAATGTTTCTCAACATTAAATATGAAGTGAAACTACAAAGAGAAGAAGAGGGGCGTGTCTCAATATGGTTTACAAGAAAATCCAGCCAATCATTTCAAAGTGGAGAGCATCTAAAGAGCAGTGGAGTATATCTGGAATGGCTCAAAGGCCAAAAGGTTGGTGTATTTTCATTGACCAGTTTAAAAACTGTTGTTGAATTTCTTGC